AAAAAAAAAAAAAAAAAATTGCCTGAAAATAAGCAAAAAATAAAAGTTAAAAAAACAAACAAGAAAACTACCTAAAAAAGATTGGTAAAAAAATGTAATGAAATAATATCTATTTTCTGTAGCATAATTTTAAACATATATTAAGAATACTTAAGAGCTTTGATAATGTTCTAATAATGCTCATAACCTTTTCCCCACCGTGTTTTCTATAGAAATCAAACCAATACTTTGAGGTTTTGATGGTTGAAATGCGTGTTAAAGGCACCTGACCCAGGTTTGAAAGGGTTTAAATACACTCACCACTAGGTGGCACACTTGCGCCATCTAGTGGGCGCAGAAAATAAAGGAAATGGTTCATGACACAACTTAATATTTATATTAATAAATGTGACGAGTGTAGATCGATCAATGCCAGCGTTCTGCACTTGACGGCTCCTTGATGCTCGGAGCTACAGGCTGGTTTTGATCAGAGCCAAAAAGGTATTATGGCTCAAATGAAAGATGAGGTCACGTCAAACACCGACAGCCCTGAGAACCATTCATGAAACAAACCTGTACAGGAAGAAGCAGAGGAATCACAGGCACACACTGATTAGAAACGTTACCTGATTCATCAGAGAGATGTGGATCCACCCGCTGGGCTCCACCATCTCTAACTGCTGCAGAGAGGAAGAGGAGGAGGACGATGGTGAGAACAGAGCACATCATGTGAAGCGTCAGGCAGCGATAAACACATCAAGAGTTGTTACCCTGATCTCCTGCAGGTTGTGGAAGTTGTTTCCCACTCTGACGGAGATCTTACTGGGCGTGTAGCTCTCATCGGATTTATAATCAGCGTAAATACACAGCATCTTCACGGTCGTTCTCCTCCTGCACATAAACACAGACGCACAGTTTAACACGCCACACCATATCCCTATCAAAACACCCAGTACTCCCAGTACTCCCAGTACCAGCAGGACCGTGTTACCTGAACTGTATGTTGACTAAATGAGGCTGCGATCCGTCTGACTGCCAGTAGGTCTCCAGGTTGTCGTCCCTCAGCTGATCCACTCCGAAACCTGGACACAAGTTCAGCTACAATCAGACTACACTCACCACTCTGTGTATTGTATCTGTATCTGTGCATTAGGGTTTGGAGCTGACCAGGTTTACAGGAGGAGAGGGACCACACCGCCTGGGAGCCGATCTCACGAACCGTCCCGGTCCGCTCCAGCTGCTTCGGGTCGGCGCCGGGTGGCGTCTTGCTCGGGGTGGCCATCCTTTACATCACAGGGAAATACAGAAACATGAGTTCAGTGAACACAGTCTCAAAACTCAGGAACGTAACGCCAAACTCCCTTTGCATTTTTTACATTTTGATGTTTGCCTGTAAATTAAAATATGTAAATTAATGACAGAGTCTGATTTGAGAGCTTCTGAGAATTAATAGGCTTTTAGGAAAAATTCGGCAGGTAAGTGACACGTCTGGTGGCATCTTATTTCGCCAGGCAGCTTACATTTAGTGCCACATTTGTGGTTAATGCCTTGGCTTTACTCGCAATACTTTAAGGAAGGAATATCAAACATATTCATCCTTAACACAGAATATAAAAATGGACCGCAGTGTTTGAATTATGTGTTGTTAAATGCATGCAACCTAAGGCCAAACTCCCTTCACATTTCTCACATTTTATTTGAAAAACTGACAGATGTAAACTAATGACAGAATCTGACTTACGAGCTTTTAAGAATTAAAAGGTCCTTAAGGGAAAATCGACATATAAGTGACACATCTGGTGGCATCTTATTTAGGGTGGGAGTATCACACATATAGATTCGTATAAGCTGAACATAACAATGGACTACAACGTTTCAATAAATCGTTACTTGTCTGAAATGCATGCAATGTCCAGAAAGTCAGCCGAACTCCCTTCAAATTTCTAACATTTTTAGTTAAATTGTATATTAGAAGATTTGAACTGATGACACAATCTGACTAAAGAGCTTCGGGGAATTATTACATTCCTAGGATATATTCGGCATATATGTGACACATCTAGTAGCCATTTATTTAGCTGCATTAAAAAATAGGATAAATCTAAGTGGCTATCTGAAGGAGGGGGACATCAAACCTACTGATTCAAACATTTACTCATTAAAATGACGATAGAGTCAAAGTGAAAGGCTTCTGGGAATTACTAGATCTTTAGGGGAAATTCGGCATACAAGTGACACATCTGGTGCCATCTTATTTGGTTAAAATTTATATAAAGTGCAAAATATGTGGTTATTTTAATCGTGGCTATTTGAAGGAGGGGAACTCAAACACTCTAATCGGTAACACCGAATTTAAGAAAGGACCACAACGTTTAAAAAATAAGTTGTTTGTTATTTCCCGTAATACAGGCAATGTCATTATGTGAGTAAAAATTAAACGAGCGTTCAAACGGAGTTTGGTGTGGAGCTGCAGCTAGCTGCTAACAGCTAACATTTCTCCACTAAAGCCACTGAAACTTAAATGTACGACATGAATATGAAGTAAAACTTACAATAGTGGTTGTGACGAGTCTCCAATGTGTCGAGTTAATGCATCACATGTTAAGAAAAAGGTGGACAAAGCTCAAATCCGCATTGTTTTGCTGCGGCCACTTCGAATCTCCCACTTTTGTGAGTCCGGGGCGCTTTCAGATGACGTCACCGAGCGCAGCGTCGCACTCTGTCGGCGTCTCTCCCGCCATCTTTCCAGCCGGCTTCCAGGAGACGAACACGTTGCTGGAAAAAAAGAAGTTTCAGCCCCGATTTTTTGTGTCTAAACGTTGTTTCTCGTTTGTTTTCTCTCGAGCCGGGGAACGGGAGCCGAAGAGGGGTGAGTTTTTAACTTATAGCTCCGGATTTCGTGCCTTTTTTCGGGTTGTGTCGCCGTAAAAGCGAGCGCTGTTCCCCCACGGAGCAGCTGTCAAAGTGCGGGGCCTCCGATGCTAATGTCGCAACCGTTAGCTTGCCGACAGTAGCCTCCAGGTTAATACTCGTAGTAAGCGGTGTTGTGTAGCCTCCAGCGTGGCCGTTTAACCATCGATTTACCCGCCTGAGCACAAACGTAGAGCTAGTTAATACTGTGAGAGTAACACAGCTCTTATTAATAGCAGAGGCCCACCGACAACATTACGTTTTCGCTTCGCCTCTCAAAATCCTGTTAATTTTTTTTTTCAATTTAAGCTTTTCCTGCTCATCGACATTTATATACACATAAAAGGCCACGATACAAGACGTCTTGTCAGTCTTTACGGTCGGTTGATGAATTCGGCATATGAATGACTCACTCATCGGCAGGTTATTTAAGGACAAATCCAACTTTGGTGCTCGACACCGCCCGTCACGTTGCGTCTCTCCTTTGGGATGTTATTCATAGAAAATAACAGTTTAACCTTCATTTTTAATGACGCGTTTCACTCCATGTGTTAAATGTATGCCGGGTTGAAAGGGCGGACACCACCGACTGGTTAAAGGTCGTAAATCACGTATAATGACGGGCATGTATGTTCAGTGGCGAGGCAACAATAAAAGGCCAGGCTTTTAAATGGAGTCTGGTGTGACTCACTCTCCTCAAAAAACACTGCGTGGCGCTAACTTGACCGGTTCGCAGCAGATTCATTTACGTCAGTTCCACCTCCTGATGCCTTGAAATGAAAACCCACCAGACTGGGATCTGCATTAAAGCCAGGGAGCGTTAGCTGTGGTTGCACTCAGGAGCAGATAGAGGCTGGTGCAGGGCCGTGGTGCTGCATGCCCATTGTTCAAGGCAAAGGCTGTGCGTTTTTGTTCAGAATTGAAATGTGTTGCTTCAGCAGAGTGAGCAGTGTGAATGAGGACACAGGTTTGAGCCTGAACCTCTGCAATTTAGATAGTGTCTCTATTGACTGTGGTACCTGACTCTCTAAATGTGTGTGTCAGATGAAAACCAACATTCTATCTTCATTTCCTTCATCAGCCTGCCTCGTCATTAACCACCCAGATAACTCCCGTCTTCTTGTTCAGCTCCACAGGTGCTAGCGTCCGTCATTCCAGCCCTCCATCATGGCAGACAAAAACACCAGGATCGCCATCGTCAACCACGACAAATGCAAACCGAAGAAATGCCGTCAGGAGTGCAAGAAAAGCTGCCCAGTGGTCCGCATGGGTGAGCGCTCATGTAGTCGCTCATGTTGTTCATGTCCAGAAAGATTTAGCTGTCAGAAGTAGAATCAACTGCAACACTTCAAAACTAGCCTGTACTCAAATGTGTGTGTTTGCAGGTAAGCTGTGTATCGAGGTGACTCCACAGAGTAAGATTGCCTGGATCTCAGAGTCTCTGTGCATAGGCTGCGGCATCTGCATCAAGGTAATAACACCTGAAGTCACATTTAAGTCTAGTTAGTTAAGACATTATGATAGCTGGTCTTTCATCAGCAGCCTCATGAGACTTTTAGTTCAGCATTCTGTCATCTCATTTGCCCTTCAGTCAATCGAGACAGTCTGAAGGGTTGATTAAAAAGAGTTACTGCATCCATGTTTTTATTTTAAGTCTGGCTGTCCTTTGTCGTTATAGAAATGTCCGTTCGGAGCGTTGTCGATCGTCAACCTGCCCAGCAACCTGGAGAAGGAAACCACACACAGATACTGCGCCAACTCCTTCAAACTGCACCGGTATGCTGCTTATTTGAGTCATCAGTCAGAGACCTCTCAGTCAACTGAGGTTCTTAAAGTCAAGCAGGTTTTTTTTCTTTTATTGTGTCAGTCAGTGTGCCTTCTGGGGACATTTTGGTCCCCAGATTTTGCTCCTTGGTACAAGCAGCTGCCCTCAGGAAGAGACGCTTTTCCTCGTCAGGCTCTGAGATAATGGTTTCTTCTTTTACAGCTCACAGCAACTTAATACGACACAGTCTCCAGCTTTTATTTAATCTGTAGCGTCAGAGAGAAATTTTGTTCTGATCCATTTTTTGTGCAGTTGGCTTGTTTACTGTATTACATGGACGTCACTGTCACTGAACGTCCAGCTGAACCTCGCTCAGCACTATTTGGATGATCAAATATTCATATTGAACAGCCAAATCTGATTGGAGCGCTAAATGTCGTTTATTCGATCATTTTTAGGACCTTTATGTTTTATTTTGTCCCAGTGTCACGTTATGACAGTGATTACGAGTTCTTGACCTCCGCGTCTGACTCCAAGGTAACGGATAAAAGGGCAACAGGGTTCAGGGTGCAGTGTTACGAGAAAGTAGTGTGTCTCGATTGTGTGCGTACTGCGTGCAACATTTAAGGGCAGCTGCTGGACCTACTAAAGGTAAAACGAAAATGTATTCAGAACGCACCTTTATTTTCTTCTTTCCTCTCTCATCAAACATGTGACGACCCCTCAGATTTATCTGGTGACCCTTCGGAGGGGTCCGACCCCCATGTTGGCAACCACTGAACTAAATTGAATATAAAGTATTTAAATGCATGGCTAACCTGTAACAGAGTATTTTTACGTTGCTGTGTGGGTGCAGAGTACTTCCACCACTGCTACACTGTGTTTGAAGAATACTGACATCTTGGTGTCGCTCCACATGTGTTGCTGTGTTTATAATGTGGTTTATGTGTGTGTGTGTGTGTGTGCAGACTGCCGATCCCCCGGCCCGGTGAGGTGCTGGGATTGGTGGGGACCAACGGTATCGGCAAGTCTACAGCTCTGAAGATCCTGGCTGGAAAACAGAAACCCAACCTGGGCAGATACGATGTGAGTGTTCAGACACACTGTCATGTTTCTGTAAAGCCGACATGTTGCGGTGTGATCTGGTGTTAGAGGCGGTGCTGTGCTGATGAGATAATACGTGGGTGTAGCTGCTCACAGCTGCCATTTTCTCTTCTGACCAACTGATCGACTGAAAGCTTCGTTTGCTGAAAAACTGTGTGATAAGAAAAGATTGTCTCTTGTACTGATAAGGACAATACTCCAAATCCAGCTCATTGATTAATTAGCTAATTAATGTTTTCCCTCATCACTTACAAAAAATACACATATACAGGAGCATATGATTCAGTTTGATCAGATAGTTTAAAACCGCTTCTCGATTCCTGTCGCTAAAGTGACATCACTTAGATATTTATGAGATATTTTAACAGTCTAAGCGACTTATTAAATGTATCTACAGGAGTCAAATCAGGAGCAGTCGTGTGTCACAGTCTGTACTGTGCAGGTTTCAAGTCAAACACTCGTCTGGTTGCTGTCAGAGCAGAGATAACAAACAATAAGCATTAAACGTCTCTGCTGTTTCACGTGCTCTCTCTGTCCACATGTTAATGCAGTGTACGTGACTGTGTTGTTCCCCAGAATCCTCCAGACTGGCAGGAGATCTTGACCTACTTCAGAGGTTCTGAGCTGCAGAACTATTTCACCAAAATCCTGGAGGACGACCTGCGGGCCATCGTCAAACCGCAGTACGTCGACCAGATCCCAAAGACTGTCAAGGTAAGCCAGCTCAGCACTTCCTGTTCACAGCGGGGGAAAGCAACCAAGTACATTTACTCAAGTACTGTACTGAAGTGTAGCAGGTTGATATGTTTACTTCATGTACAGCTGTAATAGCTTTGATTTTATATGTAAAATAGGTTTATACGTTAACATATTGCCAGTAATACTAATGTACTTTCACTCTGTTACAAGCACAAACTTGAATATTTTACAGCGTGATGTTGTCACTTAAGTAGAGGATCTGAATATTTCTTCCACCACAGATCTTGTTATTGTTTTAATCATATTGTTTCAAGTGTGTTAAATGATTTCAGTACTTCAGGACTGGTTGTAATTCTCCCTGTGTGCCTGCAGGGGTCAGTAGGGGCCATCCTGAGCAGGAAAGACGACACAGACACACAGAACATCGTCTGTGATCAGCTGGGTAAATAACAAACACACGATACATATATACACACTCAGACAAACACTTAAAAGGGGAACTTTGGTATTTTTTGCCCCTGACAGGTCTGACTGTCAGTATCCCCTGTCAGTGTCTGACAACATTGTTGCATCCTGTTTTGTGTCAAAGTTTCCCTGAAGAAGTCTCGTTCTGACATCTCACGAGATGTGACTCTTGCGGTGAGAGCTGAACATGAGTCCTGGTAAGAGTAGGAAAGGCCTATCTTACGCCGGAATTCCACTGGATGTGTGTCTGTTGCGGAACGGCAGCACTGGTTATCTGCTCCGTGCTCCACCGTCTGTCAACACCCACCGGCTGCGTTTGCTGTGCGGAACGGTGCAGCTCCACGCACAGCAGGAGTCACGAGGACCCGTGAGATCTCGCGATTATAACAAGATGTAGTTTCTATAAACAGAACCACAAAGCCAGAGGAGTAGTAGGAAGACATCTCAGTGCACCTCCATGATTAGCATCTCCTCGTCCATGGTGTCAATGGGGTGAAATGACGTCTGGAAACCTCTGACCTGTTGACTTCAGGCCTGCCTCCGCCCATTATGACGTTCTCAAATTGTAGTGCATGGATTAATTTTTGAAAATTAACCGGATGTTTTATTTTGTTTCTGTGCACGACTTCCTGCCCCACACGATCTGCTCTGTGCTGAATTGCTGCTATGTGCTCCAGCAGAAATAGAAGTTCTGCGTATCTGTTGCGGAGGGCTCTGGAGTGCCGCAGCTGTGACGGAGCCGCAGCCAGTGGAA